TCTCATTCAACCGTCGATCACATCTTTTTCGGAAACCAAGAAATAACACAATGTTGTTATTTCCTATAGTCGACCAGTCGGAAATGATGATATACCAAACGTCGCTTTCTAAGGTTGCTGCGAACGCCGTGAAGAAAATTCCGTACCTCATGGTGGTATTTATCGCTTCAATGACAGCGATAAAGTACTTTCAACTGTGTGATTTGTGTTCAGGTTCCCTGGACATTCAGTAAATGCAACCTCACATCTGTCTTAATTTTTGCTGAGAAGCAGTGAGCTTTGCCTAGTGGCCAAGCCATTTCTATTTGACACTTACTGCTCGTAAGTAGCATGGACGCGGCATGTATAACTAGCGAGCACACAATTAGGAATTTAGTGCACCGCAGATCCATTGAGGACACCTAGAAACGGAAATTGTGTGCATATCAGACAAGGCGAGATATCCTGAAGCTGGGCAGTCACAGTTTGGCGGTCCACTGTCAATCTCACCGGGGAGAGATTTGCTACATCACAATGGAGAGTCCAGGAACGGGAACATGATTTTGACGAATAATGTCTTCAGTTCCACACTGAAACAAATTCAGGTCGGTGAAACAAGCTGTTTTTCGATAAATTCATCAACCAGCTATTACAATTAAATAGACTTATTTGGGTTCGTCGATTTTGTTTTGATCACATCAAACTAAGTGTAGAACGTATGCCAAAATTGGTCATCCGGTGCCAAGGCAAGGTTAGAGTCCAAACTAAGTGCTTTCGGTTGCATAGGACGGGCATCCAATGTTTGAATAGCTAACGCCTCGGCTGCGTATAGAATGATAAGCCAAAGTCGTTTGGCAGAGATGAGGGCTGGTGATAAATGGTGCAGAAAGCCTGAGCAATATTGATTGTGCGCAGTGTCTCCAGGATATGTTAACAGATCGCAATTTCCTCGGTCAAGTTTCACCAGGTCTCAACCAGCGGAGGTCGTGTTTGCCTATCCTCTTTGATAGCTGCCTTGTAGTTCGGTCAATGTACCTCGCTCCACAAGGGCAATTGAACTCATAAAAAAACAGTTATGCTGCTTGATGGAGCCGTTTTGTAGTAACATTATTTTCACTTTCCAACATCATTCCCCTATTTCGATTTATTGCCCTCCGTTTCGAAAACACATATGACCTCGAACTTGGCACAATTTCCGGTGAGTTGTCCTGCGCTTTGCTCTCTGTACACTCTCCACTGCAGGTAACATTATATTACAAACGCTCGTATCTGACTTCCTTCTCGATCCGTACTCACTCCGGGGAACGTTCTATAAGCCCGATCTGTTGAAGTCGTTAGCGCGTCGTAGCTGCGGCCCGACTTAGTATGCTAAATTGGTGAGCCCGAGTTTATTTACCCCGTTTCCTTTTAGCACCCTACGGACTGCAAGTCTGCAGTGAGTCTGGTACCTCTACACAACATTTCCTTTTAATTTTTGTATCCGGCGTATACCGATATTATTAATTTCACTTGTTTTGAACAGTTTCACTGGGTTGGCTATTTGTTTTTACCGTTAAACGAATTTCCGCTTACGATTCCCCGAGTATTCCGTTATTCATCCTGCCTAACCACTTACATAACTGGATAATTATCTTACTCATTTATTTATATTCCACCAGTATTTTTTTCCGACATCCTTGGAAATCTCCTATTCATTTTTCCTCCCTGCATTTATACCGTACCAAATGTTTACTCAATTTTCTGAGGGCAGGGAGAACGGGGGTCTAGCCGCAACAGAGGAAACGAGCGTTTTAGGCCTGCAAGCCCGGTTACTCGAATTTATACCGGAGGACCCCAAGTTCTGGCTGGCCCAGGTAGAAGCACAGTTTAAGCTAACCAGAGTGTTAACCAGCTAGCCAAATTCACGCAGTTCGTAGGTCAACTCCCGAGATCTATGGCCCTGGGTTTGCGCGACATAGTGTGCAACCCACCGCCGGATCGGCCATATGATGCTTTTCACGATGCGATCTTGGGCAGATAAGGTATGCCAGTCGAATGCCGCCTCAAATAACTGCTAGATGGCCTACGTCTCGGAGACAATGGCCTTGACACCCCGACAAAACTTATAAGTTATATGCAGGGTCAGGCCGCTAGCCTGAACGTCGATGCGAATACACTCCGTCTGTCTTGTTTGCAGGCTCTACCAAAAAGCTTGACTTCCATCCCGCAGTACTTCGGTCAACGCTACACACTGACCGAGTAGGCAGAAATGACCGACGGAGTGTACGCAGACCCATTGTCGGTCCAGTCCCTCACTCAGCCAGTGCATCCACCGCCTTCCTCCGATAACTCGAACTCGTGGTCTGAGTTAAAGCGTTAGTCGCACAGGTCCGGGCGTTAACTATATCTCGAGACCGCCCACGACAACGCCGCCGCTCGCGCTCCAGCCACAGGAGCCGTACCCCGAGGCGCCCGCGATCTCGATCACCGTTGAACGGGATTTGCTGGTATCACCGCCGCTACGGTGATGCCGCAAAGAGGTGTCTCACACCATGCATCTACACCCTTAGGTCGGGAAACTAGATAGCCGACCGGCCCAGGCGACAACCGTGTCCGGCTCGCCACAACAAAGTCGCCTGTTTTTCGTTACCGACCGTCATACCGGGATACGCTTCCTGGTCGACACAGGCGCACAGGTCAGCGTCATACGCCCTCGCCCAGCTGACCTACATCGTCTCTCTACCGTGGAGCTGGTCGCTGCGGGCCTGACCTTGTGACTGACCTTGTGAGTTACCGCGCGGTTTAAACTTTTGAACTGCTCTGCTTCTTACGATTTTATTTGCGTTGAGTCGTGAAATAACACTAGTTATTTCACAAACTTACTGGATCTTAGTATTTAATAAGCTTTACTTTTATTCAGAGAACTTAACTCTCCGACAGGTGTTTTTACCATAGTGCTTTTCCCGTTTTCGTGTGTTCCGTTGGTGTGATTCTATCTGTCGTGTAGCATTTTATTGATAATCTTGGAATTTTGTATCGCATACTCTTTCCTATTCGAGAAGGAATCACTTGTATAAAGGCTGGCCAGTACAACCGTAACACATGCGGGAATAGGGCTTGTCAGAAAGTT